AAACATGAATCTACACTACCTGAGGATGCTTCCATTTAAATATAACTAATCATTGCTTGGCTGTTCTTGAGAAGAAGATTTTTGAAGATTTTTCCTATATATTCCTACGTAAAACTTTGATCGTCCATTGTGACTCCACCCTACCCCTGGGGGTCATGATTTGAACAAACTTGAATCTACACCACCTGAGGATGCTTCCATATAAATATGACCAATCATAGCTTTGCTGTTCTTGAGAAGAAGATTTTTGAAGATTTTTCCTATATATCCCTATGTAAAACTTTGATCGTCCATTGTGGCCCCACCCTACCCCCGGGGGTCATGATTTGAACAAATTTGAGTCTACACTACCTGACAATAATTCCACATGAGTTTCATCTTTCCTGGCCCATTGGTTCTTGAGAAGAAGATTTTTCAATAATGCCATTAATTTTTTGCTATTTCGTAATTATCTTCCCTTGGAGGGGGGCGTGGCCCTTCATTTGAACAAACTTGAATCCCCTTCACCCATGGATACTTTGTGCCAAGTTTGATTGAAATTGGCCTAGTAGTTCTGGAGAAGAAGATGAAAATGTGAAAAGTTTACGACAACGCCAACGACGACAGACAACGGACAAATTTCGATCAGAAAAGCTCACTTGAGCCTTCGGCTCAGGTGAGCGAAAAATGATTGCAAATTAGATTTTATATAACTTTCTGCCTCAATGAAAACTTGTTGAAGGTCTTTGAATTTTTCCACATATTTTAATACAAAAGGAAGATTCAGCCACTTGTAGTCAATGTGTTCATCAGATAACTTGATTGGTATGCTTGGATTCCTCAGTTCTGAGGGCCAGTACACTCTCTTAGGCTTCATCTTCACTTCACAGGTCAATGTTCTTTGGAAATTTTCATAAATATGGAAATCGCCTTTTTTTTTTTAACCCTGCCTCTTCCTCTGTTTACCGTTCACGGTAGCTCAGTCGGTAGAGCGCTCGCTTCGTGATCGGGAGGTCGTGAGTTTGAATCTCGGCCGCGACTGACCTAAGTCGATAAAAAATGGGTAGCAACTGTTCCTTCGCCATGCGCTCGGCACTTTGAAGTGAAAGTTGCGGGTCCTTCGGATGAGACCTTAAAAACCGAGGCCCCGTGTCCCGGCAGGCGTTGGCACGATAAAGATCCCTCACTGCTCAATGGCCCTGAGTGCCGAGTAAAGGTCAAATTTTGAAGCCCTTCACCGGTATATGGTGACGTCTCTATATGAGTGAAAAATTCTCGAATGGGACGTAAAACAATATACAATCAATCAATCAATCTTCCTCTGTTTCTCTTAGTGCAGTTTGTAATTCTGACTCCCCAGGGTGTGCATGACCTGCAATATACCGGGTTGTAAATTTTAAATTTTAGTATCAATACTTTTACTGTTCAATGATAGTTTTACAGCTATTTGCATTGAAACTGCATCTTTGTGGTCGCATATGCGACTCCCCAACACACCCAATACCACACAAACACTCTCACACATACTCCCCACAAACACACTTAAAGGCAGATATTTTTTGCAGCAAAAATTGTCCAGCTAGTCTTTGTGCTTTCAATAATTGTGTTGCATTCTGATGTTTACTACCTTTCATTGTAGTGAATTGCAGCTAATTAGTGTTGTTGACTATGATATAGGGCATGACAGATTTGACTCAGCAAAGGTTAAGGTCACTGGACATTGTTATTGATAATATTTTGAAAATGCTGTTACCCATGACTAAAGAATGCTCTTGATCTTGGCTAAGGATCACAATCAGAGGTCAAAATTCAGTGCTTAAGAGATTTACAAATTATGTCCAGACTATAATTTCCAAACCCTTGTTTGAATGAATTAAAACTTCGTGTTTTTTTTGCCATTATTTAAACTATGTCATGATCTTGACTTGTGGTCGAAACAACAAAATCAAGATCACTATACTGTCATGTTATAAATATTTTTCTGTCAATTTTGTCCTTTTTGTGGTTCTAATCAGTTGTAAAGTCTCTCTCTCTCTCTCTCTCTCTCTCTCTCTCTCTCTCTCTCTGTATGTCTTTCTTTCTCTGTCTCGTTATTTTTCTTAATTTTCCTTCGTATTACCTCATAATCTGACTGAATGGTAACCTCACAGACTGTAAACCTGACCAACTCATAAAAGTCAACTTGAACCCAATTTGTCAATTCGTAACCAAAATGTGGATGTCAACTCGTAAACAAGACGGAGATAAGTAAAATTTGATTTTTAAAAGAAGAAGAGTTAGTGTCAAATATAATGAAACAAGCTAATTCAGAGAATTTGTGTCCCCCGCTTAGGGAAAAAAGAAGAGCATGCGCAGTTCGGGGGGGGGGGGGGTTCACCCTGCGCCCCTGTATTTGTAGAATTATTAAATGTATACATGTATATTGAAGCAAATTTAAAAAAAAAAAAGCCAGTATGGATATAAAGATTTGATTGCTTATTCTTTAATATGTGTATAGAAGATTCTTTTTAATATACTATATGCAGAATATCTATCACACTGTAATAATGATTTTATGAGTTTGTACACGCCAGACATCATATCTTTTTCATTTCACATGTTGAATAGTATCATTTAGTACATCAAAAAAAAAATTAACAAAAAGATAATCGTCCGGGGATTGAACCCGTGCCTCTCGCTTGCTAAGCGAGCAACATACCACTAGACCACGGAGACACGTGATTAAACAGCGAATTTAATGCAAACATTAAGTCACGTATAATGTTTATATTCACGTTTGATATTGTCAAAATTTTACACAATTAATGTTGTCTAATTTAGCCTTTACTAAACAGTTCTAATAGATGTAATTAGAATATAAAGTCCGTCGACAACATGTATTATACGTAATAACTGTTCACATGCCCCTGTGCTAAAAATAGTGCCAAGCGACTTTTAATACAATAAATAAAAAAAAAACGGGGCGGAACACTTTGAGAGGGGCGAGAGAGGCCATAGGGAGTCATGGTATAAAATTTCATTGCAAAAGCTTAAAAGTTTCTTGAGATATCGCCCGGAAACGAAAGTGTTACACACAGAGGGAATTTATGAATTTACGACCTTAAACTTTGACCTTTTGACCTCAAAATCAAAAGGGTTCTTTCTTAGGCCACAGGGAGTTGTTATGTCGAATTTCGTTGCAAAAGCTCAAAGAATTCGGAGATATCGCGCGGAAACGAAAGTGTTAAAACAGACAGAATTTATGAATTCATGACCTTGACCTTTGACCCTTTGACCTCAAAATCAAAAGGGTTCTTCTTTAGGCCATAGGGTGTTGTCATGCAAAATTTCATTGCAAAAGCCCAAAGGGTTCTCGAGATATCGCGCGGAAACGAAAGTGTTACAGACAGACCCAAATTAATATCCCCCACTTTCAGTGAAAGTGGGGAACAAAAATATAAATGATAATTGCTGTTGTGCTTAAAAATCAAGAGTGAGGGTTCTAAGTCATTGAGACTAATTTGGAGTACGTAGCAAATATCTCTAAATATTTTCCAACTATGTCCAAGAATAAAAGAGACCACGTCATTTATTTTTTTTAGCATAATCATTTTTACGTAGTTTTAACAGATAAATATTCCTGTTAGTGATCAATAATTGATATTGTTTCGAGTTGTGTTCAGCGTCTCCTATACAAATAAATGAATCATTTTAAATAATAAGCTTACAATTGAAATCTTATTTGGTTACCATTCAAAGTTGTGTTCTATGATGGAGCCATCTAGTAACCAGGGTCCATTTCACAAAACTATCTTATGATTAAGATTTGTCTTAAGGTATGCCACTCGTCAGCTTTTGAATCAGAAGTTTGTTCAGGACCTCAAATGTCAAAATTATCAATAACATTTCAGTTTTTTATAACGCATTTGAATTAATTAAAACAAATTATACAATAATCAATTTAAAAACCGCTCACAAAATTGATAAAAAATGAGATTTGAAGGGAGGGGAACTATTTCTTGTGGTGGAAGGATATTTAGAAAAAAATTCTTCCATTCTACACGTTTGTTTTATTTAATATCTTAAAACTTTAACCCTTTACATTTTTACGCAGAGATTTTTTTTTCGTTTTCATGTGCTAGGATTATTTGATATAGGATTTAAGTTATATTTTAAAGCAACTTTTACATATTCGCTCAATATACTTATTTTATATCTTATTGTCTGTATAGATTTTTAAATGCCACAGATATGATACTTAATTAGTGCAAAATGGTCAACAATAATTAACGCGCATTAATTTGCAGGATTTTTATTACAGAGAAATTATGGTCAAACTTGTCAGTGACGTCATCTCAGTCAGTGCAGCAAGTTCAAGGTCGCTTTAATTCTACATTCAAATAGTATTATTATGGCAAGATAAGTTACACATGGATTTATGTTTACATTATTTATGTGAAAAGACTGTATTTGAGTGTGCATGAAAAGGAATATTAGTATTTATTCGCCGAGATTCATTTGTAAAGATTTAACGTGACGTCATAATCGTTTTCCCGAACATGTGTAAGTAAGGGAGTCCTTAAACTAGATGCGTTGGTTTTAAAGTGATCGAAGAAGGAAATCGAAGAACTATAAACTGAGAATGGCATTAAAGGTATCCAACACATTAATGGCAAACAAAAATAACATATTTTTGTTCTAACAAATTGTCAATTCACGCAACATGTGATAATACTAGTATTTCATGGATCAAAATGTAAGAAGCTTTCCGCAATTTTTTTTCTTCCAAAAGAATCTAAAAACAAGAGGCCAATGGGTCACATCGGTCACCTGAGTACTTTGGCTAGGAAAGAGCAGAAATCGGTTCAGTATTGAAAAGTTTAATTATAAAAGTAGTTCGGAGGAGGGGGGGGGGGGCAAACGTGAATGAATACTACGTAAGGATGCTTCTGAATTAATATAATAAAGGCTTTGCTGTTCTTGAGAAGAAAATATATGGTTATTGATAAATCCCTTATTGATAAATCCCTTATATTCAAAAAGGTTCTAACTTAAAAATTAAATCACTCTGCTGCTGCATATAAGAGACGATATATATACCAACCTGAGAATGTCAATCATATGCATGCCTTAAGTCAGTCATTAATGCAAATACCTGAATACTGTATGAAACTATATACTTTATCACTTATTGTAAGTTATATTAATAATGATTTTTAACCTTTTCTTTTGCAGATTCCACTTTTTTTCCATGACAAATTACACACTTTCAACTAAACTGGTACAAATATTCTAGTCCAAAGTTAACATTATGCCTTTGTTTTTCATTAGAAAGTTAAAGGAAAGTGGCAAACTTTCACTTGTTATTCACTACTATCATTCCAAATATGAAGTGTCCATGTTATTTTGAAAATATGTGAACAGAGTTAAAAATGCATTCAGATTAAATGAAAGTTGTTCATATTTGATTTAACCCCACATTAAAATCAATTCTGTACTTTTGGTACTTTGGTTTTTCTGTGTGATATCATCATTATATCTACAAGTGGACCAGTCTCACTATTTTAAAGTATTGATCAGAGTACAACAAATTAGTCAAATACATTTCATCACTGACCTTCATCACATTATTGTAAAATCTTTCACAAAATATAAGTTGGAACAGTATAAAATAAGATTCAAATATACTTTTCCACAATTAATATTTGGTAGAAAGCTTTTATCTCATTAATCCTTTAGCAAACCATCTTTTCTGCAGGTTTACATCTTCAATGAAATCACTTTCAATTTTCCGGAATACGATCCAACCCAGCACCTTCCCTTATTGTCCACACTCAGTCCTCCCGGTGTGTCTAATCCACAGTTATCTAAACATCTTAGAAAATGTCCATTTTCATCAAGAATATGTAAACAATCATTGTTGTGATCTGTAACAATGATCTGACTCCAGGAATCAGTGGCGATTTGCTCTGGGCAGAAATATTTCTTTCTACTGGCTACGTCACCATTGTACAGGAATCTGACTTTCCCTTTCTCGTCAACCACGACCACTTTCTTTGCATTTCCATCGGAGGCACAAATGTCCCCGTTTCTGTTTTCAGCTATATAAAGTTTAAAATTTCCTCCCCGGTAAAGAGGTATGCCATAAGAATCTTTTTCTATTTCCTGTATTACTTTTTGTCCCTCATATCGGACTATTTTGTGATTGTTGAAATCATATGTAGCCATATTGACAAGGATATCGCCCGAATTGGTACAGCATAGTCCCAATGGCGCCCAGCCTTTAGGTGCTTTTATCAGCTCTTTTGTCAAACCAGATCTGACAATATTCACAGTTTCACTGACGTAGTCAGTGTATATCAGTTCACCTTGTTGAGTCACTGAGATGTCAGCTGGCTCCGACGAGACGGTGACAGATTCCTTTAAAGACCCATTTACGTGAAAACGTAATATCTTTCTGCTTCTACCCGACATCCATGCTTCATCAGATCCCGTACAAGCAACTGCATCAGGATTTAGATCTCTAAATGGAATTTGAATATCAGTAACCATTCTGTCCCTGCTCAATGGTACTGTCGAAGACAAATCTGTGTTTTCATTGGTCTCATCGAAAAGTAACTTCTGTGTTAACGAAGCTTTGAGTTCTCCAAATTCTACGATAAGTTCTTTACCCCGGTCTGTATTTACTTTTAAGGAGGGAATGGTAACATTAATGTCTTCAGGTATACCGATAGCTTTGTATTCCTGAAGTTTTGATTTGTAGTTGACAACTTTAGAGACTGTTTTGGACCTTAATATTGCTTTGTTTTCTTTTAATGTTTCAAGCATTCTCTGGGTCATGCTATTAGGTTCGTGTATTTGTTCAGTCAGGGATTTTAGCGCTTTGTCCTTCATGGACTTAATTAACTCCCTGTGTTTGTCAAAAATTTCGTCAACCTCCTGATGCCATTGTTTTCTGGGCTCCGCTAATTCTATCTCAAGCTCATCAAATTTTTGAGTTGTTTTAGAAATCTTTTCTTTGACATTTGAAACGCGAACATCACTTTGATGCTTCTCTAAATCATATAGTTTCTGGAGTTCTTCTGTTTCTAACACAATCTTCTTCCTGTTGTCATGGTAATCGGAAGGAATTTCTCCTATACGGTGGCTTTGGTGAGAAGTAATGACGCATTTCATACAGACCATGACATCGCATTGTTGACAGCAGGCTTCGCATTTCTGGCCTGGGTGTATTTCACATTGCAGGTTTACCTCCTTCACACTTCTGTTTGTAAAAGGGACAATGTCATGCGGAAGTAGTTTATGTGCATTGACATGTTTATTGATGCAGTTTCCACACAGTTTAATTTGACAACTGTTGCAAAATTGATAGGCAGCATCGTTACAAATGTCACAAGTGATCACCTCTTGTGCCCATGTAATAGGTGTGGACATTTTGCTTTTGACACCGTTTCGTATGAAGTGTGCTTGTTAACCTTCTAAAAAAATCAAAGAACTGAACTGAAAGTTACTTAATAATTTGTATTTATGATTGGCAGTTTTCAGGTTAGTTTAAAGAACTCTAAAAATAATACATTTCTCAAATGTTAGCATTAATTACTCACCTTGTCACTATTTTGTAACAAACATCTTCAATCGAGATATATCAAAGAACTTGACAGGAATTCAACATTTACGCTCTCCGATATTACTTTCGGTTTGATTTACACCCCCCCCCCCTAATTTGTTACTTGGAAAAAAAACGCCCCCGGATTTTTACTTCCATTTTCGAGTACGTGCAAATTTCAGTAAGATAACTTGTTTTACTTTAAAAAACAATACAAAGTGGTACAGGAATTTATTATAATTGGTTTAAAATGAAAGTTATGGTGAAACATTTCGAGGTATAATAACAATGATTCAAAAGAAGAAAACTTCCCAAAAAATGGTTATCGTTTTGTTATGCAACTATCAAGGACTATGACATTTTGTTTTAATTAACTCTGCCTTGAGGTCAATGTAAAACGTATACGTATACGGACAGGAAATTTAGGAATATTTTGGATAAGGAAGTCGAAGTTGCATTAAGAAATTTGATTGATTGCAACACTGCATTACCACTTTCTATGATAAGTGCATTTATTTGTAGAGATGAGAAGCGAACATTACATTCTGCGATATTAGATTTTGCATTAACTTCAACGCAAGATGTAAAAAGACAAATTGTAATTTTAAAAAAGTATAGTTTTTACATTTTTGAGTTATTACATTTTGCGTTGACAACGACGCAAAGTGGACTGTCACATCGCTTCTTGAATATGTTGTAGCACATCAGATTCACCTTCATAGTTAATATTTGGTGAGGAGTAAAGATAGGGGTTTGGTTTAACATTTACTGTACCCTGCAAAATATCTGTGTAAGGATTTTAATGAAGTTCTAGTATAGGTACGGTATACCAGACTCACTTTTATTTCAAGAATATATGCAGTGTACATTTGCTAAGTATAGATTGCTGCTGTTTTATAGTACTTGTACTAGTACTCATAAGACCTAATTTTCATAGCTGTTACAGCTGCATAAAGCAGTGCAAGGTAATTCATACCTGAAACAAGTAATTCTACCCATATTCAAACACTTAATTCTTAGCATGAGGCTGCAATTGGCACCAAAGATGTCCCGTGTGGGAACCAAACTCTGCTATCTTTTTCAATATTACTTTAAAGGTGATGGTTAAGTTTGCTATTTCATGAATTCTGCCTCCATGTATGATCATGCTCATTTTCTAGGACCAATCTGTTGATATGCTCATAAAGAACAGCCCTTGAGAGGAGAAATGTCATCAAGAGAACTCTGTTTAGGGAAAAGATGTCAAGAAAGAATGATTTCATTTTGGTGTTGAATATTCTGAATTTTTGCGTTTTTGACGTTGCTGTAGACTTCTATGCCGATCTTTCAAAAGCCTGCATTCCTTTGCTTTCTTTATCTTAAATGTTTAATTCAGTTCCCCTGTTCATTTATGATACTACCAAAACTTTTTTAAAATTGATTGACCTATTCTCTATCATCTTCGAATGTTCCATTTCCTCCATTCTTGATCAAGACTCTCTTTATCATATTTATGTTCTTGGTCTTTAGGCTCTTTTACCCTGTTTATTTGTTTTATCTTGTCTCTCATGTCTATTAGAGTATGAGTCCTATGATAGCCTATAGAATGCTGGAGTTCTTCATTGACAACATTTATGTAGTCTTCGGATATCAGGTCTTCCAAGAAACTGTTAGAATTTCGATAGGCAATACTTGTACTCTTTTATTAGCCGACCTGTTTTTATATTCCTGTGAAGCAGCATTTATTCAAAAACTTCTGTGAAAAACTTGATGTGGCCCTCAACTCAACATTCAGATATATCGACAAAGATTTAACAATTAACAATAGTTACATGTTCTTCCATTTATATGTCGACTTCATATATCCCAGTGATGTTGAAACAAAAGACACCACAAAGTCTGCCACATCTGTTTCATATTTGAATGTTTTACTGACTATAGACGACTAACAACTAAATTGTGTGACAAACAAGATGACTTCAGTTTTTCAATCGTCAACTATCCTTATTTATGTAGTAATACTTATCCAATACTCAAGTGTATGCTCTGAGTAAGATGCATTTTTAAACTGAGCCAGGCTACCGACAGATAAGTTGATGTTACAGGGTTTTCAACAATCTCGTTTAAAATAAGCATTTCGTAAATTCTATGGCCATTATTAGAAATGTTACTGAATATGAATCGAATCCGAATCTGAAAATGAATCTGAAACGAATCTGAATCGAAGGGATCTCGATCCCGATTTGAAAACTGGAAAAAGATATCAGTACAAGAAAATTTCTTAATTATACAATATATAATATAAGTACATGTATATGAATATTGATATTTTCTCTGTGATTTATTTTTCACATGTACGATGACGAGGAATATATGGAATTTAAATACGAAAAGTGTTAAACCTTTTCTTCCTCATTTTGAATTTAACAAGTTCATAATTACTCTTGCAAAATACAAGTATATGTATTTTTATTCTTCTGTTTTATTATTATTATTATTATTTTTTTGCATTAATTTTGTTTGTTTGTTTGTTTTTTTGTGTTGTTTTTTTTTTTTTTTTTTTTTTTTTTATGGAATTCCGTATACGACAGCCAACTGCTTACTGCCAACTGCTCACTGCTTACTGCCAACTGCTCACTGCTTACTGCTTACTGCCAACTGCCACTGCTCATAGATGATATTGCCTGTTTTGTTATCTTTAATATCTTTAATACGCATGCTTAATTGAATAAACTCTATGGTAGATTACAATAATATTAATTACAAAAATTGGCGGATTCAGGAATTTTTAAACAGTGAAGGCAAGGATGAAATAATATAGGAGGAAAGAGTTTTCCATCTTAAATACAAAACATTTAATCCCCATATTTCCTTGCAAGCAAATAATTCAAAGGGAACTACTATGAGTATGGGTTGGGTTATACTGCTAAATTGTTGGTGCTGACTGTTCGTAAAATTCTCTCATGTACTTACGAAAAGTGTTCTCGATAGTGGGAATCAATCGCGACAAACAAGCTTGTTGAATGGGTGTTGAATGCCGCTGACAGACGTAACACATCAAGAGAGGGTGATGTAGCTGGAGGAAGACCGGACGTTGACAATTCAGAACACCTTCTTCTTTTGATTTTGATGCCATAATTATTATGATAGTCAAAGTAATACATGTGTTCTAAGGACTATGCATAAACTGTGTGTGGCTTGTTTCTCCTCAGATTTGTCCGTATATCCTTGTTAAAATATGTGCTCCGATTATTTTAAGCACTATGAATTATCTGTTTCTCATAAAATGAAATGCATGTGCGCATCAGTCAAAGTATTTCGATCCTAGATTAAATTATTCATGCATCAAAATACTGCAAGGTTGTAAAACAACTAATCCATAAGGGATGTAACATACACATATCATTTATTGCTATAAATTCTGTTTTGCACCAGGCCTATTGCACGCATAAGTCACTCTATACACAAGTTGAAAAATACAATTTTCTCTTTAAATCTAAAGATATACACAAGTTATACAAGTAGTATTTACATATTAACAAGCCCTTTTCTATAGAAAAGAAAAATCAGATATAAAAAATTGGCAGCATTTACCTAAAAATTGTTAATCAACGAAATGAAAGCATACATATCATTTTCAAAGGCACTTCAGGAAACATATTACGCAGGTATTTATTTATCTAAAATTTCTATTAAGTATGCGATTGGAAAAACTTCCTATTCAATCAAGGAGTTGATGTAGAACACACAATATGTGCCGTGGATTGCTTTCTATGAATAGGGCGAATTACAAATCCCCAGATAGAGACGACTATTATGTTCTATTATTTTGGATGTCACTAAGACATGATAGAAATTCCTGTTTATATTTAAAAGAAACATATGTTCCAGCTTTGACACATTGTGGACATCTGCACTAAATTCAGTTTCAGTATATTCAACTCTTAAAGTTTTTACTTAGTTTCTTTAGCATTCACTGTTAACCGATTTAAAAAAAATAAAAATAAATAAATCATCAATTCAAGTCTATAATAAATATCATTGGCATGGGAGGGCCATATACCAAGGGGGCTGAAGGCCCAGTTGGAAACCTTCGTAAGACAATCATGATCCGTTCCATAAATTGCATTATACGCTAGATAAAATTGCTAACGCAGCATTATAAAAAATATTTTCAAAACTTGTTCAAGAAGAGTCTGATGTATATATTACCTTAACTATGCAAGCATCTAAATGCCCAACTGAAAAAAAAAATGAAGGAAATCATGCTCACAATTTTTTGGAGGAATAAATTACCATTTTCTGTAATTGTGTTCTTTATGTTTGCATTAATATGTGGCGTTTGACCATAAAATGGCAGTTAGTTTGGTGACAGCAGTGTGGTCCTATGGAGAGGTTGGTTTAAAAAATAAAATAAATCAAAAATTGTAAATTCTTCTGGATAAAAATACTGGATTAAACTAACGAATATAAAAGATGTCTTTTCGAATGAACCCTTTCATATGAAAGACACCACACTATTTCATGATTATATCGTAAAATCGTAGCAACAAGAACCGCAAGTGTCGGAACGGACAAGGATATTAAAGCACTGGGTGACTTGTAGGCAAGAAGTTATATATATCGCTTTATATCATTTCAGAAATAGGACCACCACAGTGTCGAAAAAAATAATGTTATCATTTGCTTCTGTTGAAAATTTAAAACAACTTGTAGCAACTTTTCTTATTATTTTTTTTCAATGATTATCAGGAAACCCGTGTTGCTTTTATACATTAAAGACCCCAATTTTGGGGAGGGCATTTCTTGTAAAACATTTTTGTTAAATCACAAATTTTAAATAATCAGATCAAAATCAGAAGAAAAATGGTTACGTGCATGTATTAAGGATGACGTTTACTCCGATGACCAAACTCATCTGATAGAAATGATAAACCACCTATTGTATATTGTTAGACGTATGATTGTACTATTATTATTCACAATGAAATTAGTAAGTTAAACACCTACTTTTCATGCAAGTGGCTCAATCGCAACTCCTCGG